TCAAGAAGAGAAGGAGGGTTCCTCGCCTGCCGTGTCCCTCCAGCACCGGTGGTGCCCGGGGCTGGAGACCAGCTGAAAACACAGGGTTTCGTTTTCTCCCCAAGCCAACTAATTAGGTGAAAGCCACTGATACATGCAGGGCTTCAGAAAGAGTCTTTGATGAATTAGTTATTTATCCTGTCTCATCGCCCCTGTGCGCCGCTGCAGTGTATCACCCCCCCGGACTGTGGGAATGCATCTTCCCAGCCAGATCCCGGCGCTTTTCATCACCGAGAGCTGAACTTTGTTCTGGGAAGGTTCCCAGTGAAATCAATTAGGTTTTGTGCGGCTCAAGGTGCTGCTGAACATGATTGCAGGTATCAGAGCCTGGCTCTGGGTGACCACGGCATCTGCTCCGACCCTGCCGGAGCTTCCCAGCGCCGGGCGAGGAAAACAGGCTGGCACTGCACTGACGTGGGACGGTAAAATAGCTCCAGTGTTTGGAGCTGCCAACTATCAGGCCTATAATATATGTCCTAAAGCAGTCAAAAGAGTTTTTACGAGTGCAAAAATATTAACAAATCGTTGGTTATTTAAAGGGAATCATTTAGGGCTCATCTGGCTAATGAGGAAGAAAAAACGGAGCTGAACGCTTCTTCTCAGTTGTAGGGAGACGTATGAGATCAGCTGTTGTAGGAAGCTATCAGTGAACACACCTCGTTAGCTCCCTTGTGTAAAACTCCTTATCTGCCTCTTATTAGTCTTTCATTAATTAAAGCTACAGAATTCAGTATTTTTTGTTAGCTGTTCCCTCAGCATGAAACTCAGCTAATTCTTCTACTGTTGGAAACAAAGCTCCAAGATTGAAGTTTATTCTTATGGTGTTCTTTCAGTTATTTATTTCACATTGCTGTCATGCATGGATGAATTTATATGATGCTCTGATGACCTTTAGAAATTCCTCTGATTAAATGCTGTTCTACTTCATTATGACATTTCTGTACTTGTACTACCCGATTTGATGTGTACAGCTTAATAACACAACCAGACATGAATGCTAATAACTTTACAATTCATTGCATTGCTATTTTTTAATGTAGATGAATTTTAAAACAAGTTTCTCTTGCTGCAGGCTTACATGAATCATATAAATTAGAAGGTAACAAAAGAACATATTAGCATTTGTTAGCCTGGATGCACAAATTTTGTAGTAACCATTTTAATATGTACTACAACTTTTCCAGCCTCAAGTTTAATATGTACTACAACTTTTCACCCTCGATTTTTCAACCAACATCATAATTGAATTGGTTTCCTTCTTGCCTAAGGATAATGATTTTACACTGATGGAATCATTATTAGATTCTAAGGATTATACTGATGATGCCTGTTTTACATAGAGCTAAAAAAATTAAAATTATTCAACTGTAAAGTACTCCTTTACACAAAGGCTATGTAAGTTGGAGATAAATGAACTAATTATTGTGTTTAGAGTTGTTGTTAATATCCAGCATCCATAACTGGAGCAAACTTCTTGCTGTAGCTCTGTGCAGGGGGTGCAGGAGGCTTTTGAAACCCCCACCCCATCGCTTGTCCTTGAAGTCTGGCAGGTGGTGAGTTGCTGTCGTGGAGCTGATGCTGTGCAAGCATGTGTTCATCGAGGCAGGAGATGGCTTCCTGCAGATCTCCACAGAAACTGCTCAAAAAGCTCCTCATCTACAGGCACAGCCTCCAGCAGTGGGATGAGAAGCAGAGGAAAGGTGGAAGGTGGGAAAACAGAAGGCATTACTTAGGGAAGAAGCATCTTCACTGGTACGGATCTGGTTATCAGTTCAGTCTGGGTTTGGAAGACATGTCCATGTTCCACCACACCTTCCTAAGGGGTAAAACAATGTTTGAACTGGTCGAGAGTAAGTGAGAACCAGCTCACCTGCATCCACCACTTCTGTCTGCACATCTGAGCACTGCTCCTCGGGTGGAGGGAGGGAAGAATGGCCCAGGTTAAGCATAAATGATGAATTTCTGCTATTCTGAAAACCGTCAACATTTCATGGGTAATTACACTTCAGGCTGCAGAAATAGCTGTTGAATTAATTGATTTTACAGTCACATCCTGAGGTGCTGAGTGGGTGTTGGCCTGTGTGGATGTGTCAAAATAACACCTTCAAAAGTCTCAGGGGTGGAAGACATTTACCTCTGTCTGTTGAGTAATCAGCAATTAGAATACAATATAAATATCTGCAACCTTTCAGCTGAAAAAACAGGAAGAAAAACTTTATTATTGCCTTTAGACATTTTAAACTTTTTTTGCAATTTTTACTTGTCAAATATAGAAGTATCTGGAGCTGAAATTAAGCAAGTATAGCCCCTCTTCCTCTGATTTTTTCAAGCTGGAGGTTAACCTCAATTAAAAAAAAAATTAAAATCACGTTTCTTTAAGCATCTATTTTAAATCATAGGTGAGAGACCAGTCAGCATAAGTACAATGGACTGCTCTTGTGCATGATTTTTAAAAGCCTTTGTGCTTCGTTACTGCAGCTGGATGTCACCTCTGAGGTCAGGGAACATGATTGCTTCCCCACACTTAAGCTTCAGTCAGTTTTATTCACTACAAAAACAAGAGTAAGGAGCTGCACCAGTTGTAAACTTGCACTTACTCCACTAATTGCGTATGGAGTGATCAATATATGGAATCAAATTCCATGTCCGTGGTGCATTAAGACATTATCAAACTCCTGTGCTTCTCAGCTGCTTTAATATGGCTCGAGGTACAGCACAGAGCTCCCCTTGTATGCGGTTCAATAGTTTCTTTAATCTGAGATGTAAACTTGTCTTTGAAAGTGAAAAACAAGCTGACCTGAAGGTAATAGACCTGCATTGAATTCATCTCAAACACATGTTAAATTTTCTTGACACCATTACCCTTTTCCTTAGGAAACTTCAGAGTGTTCTTGATTAATAATAAAAATAAGGAAAAACAACCTGTAAAAGCAAACCAGGAGCACTCGGTGGCCCATCTACTTTCAACCTTTTGCTCCTTGTCCTGGGTATTCTCAGCAAAAGAAACAAAATCCCATCAAGCTCTTTTCAGCATTGCACAAGGATTTAGACTATTTCCTATGCTCAGCTCTTTGTAACAACAGAACAAAATAATTAAGGTGATGTTAAATCAAGATGAGAGCAGGAGACAAGATCTCTGGATTCCAAGCCAGGCTCTCTGACTCAATTATTGAACAACTTGTGCTAAATTGTTTAACCTGTCTGCTGCTGCTTCCCTGTCTTTAAGGTGAGGGCACATTAAGTTTTACCTCCCCACAACATGACTTGCTGTGACTGTTGGTTTGTATTTGTGGGGTGCTTTTGGAACACAACACTCTGTGAAGTGGCAGTGAAGTGTGGCTCTGGCATCCACTTTGGGGTTTCCTTTCTCCCCGAAGCTCGAATTCTGCTAAAACTTGGCCAAATTTCTGTAGCTCTCTAGAGGAAGAGTAAAATTTGTTGTTGCAGTAGCGCTTCATTATAGATGTTTCATCAGGGATCAGTTTGTGAAGCAGCTGTCATTGCTGTCGGGGAAGGTGGAGCTGCAGAGAGGCTTTAACTTGAGTTTGGGGGATCATGATGAGGGAGTTGCTGAAGACTTGCCATGTGCTGTAATTAAAGGGCTGCTGTCAGAGGCCAAGCAGGCATAAAAATGTTCCTTCCTCAGCTGCTCTTCCCTCTGGTGAGTTCATCTTAATTTTCAACATTTGATGGAGAATTGAATTTTGAGGTGGAAAAGGGAATGTTTTATTTCAGGGATGCTGTGGTGACTCTTGATGCTCTTTTCTGGGTGTCCAGTGTGTGTAGGCATGGGGGAAAGGAGCTGTGTCCTTGGTCTGTCACCCAATCTCCCAAATTATTGTGGGGCCTCTCCGGGGAATGTGCTGCCAGCAGAGAGGGCAGGCTGTGCCCCAGTTGTTTGACTTGAACAACCAAAGACATTGCACCACCACCAAGGAAATCTTGGACCACAGGCTCAGACTTGGAGACAGCCTTGTCCCTGGCACAGCTTATCCCAGCAGGGGCTGTATCAGGCGTGTCCAATGGACAGAGCTGTTCCTAAGGACATGTGTCAGCATCGGGCAGACCAAGCTCTTGAGGTGTTTCTGTGTTGCTGGGGCTGTGGTTTGGACATGGATCAGCTGAGCAGGAGCTGGCTGGGATCCTGGGAGCAGCACTTGCAGAGTCCATCCGAGGAGCTGAGAGGGATGGCAATGTTTTAGCAATCTCTCCATCCTGCAGGTGTGTGCTCGGGCAGAGAGAGCACAGCCAAAACTAATTGAAAGCTGTGTAGAGCTGACACCAATTGCTCTCACAGGAGTGACTACAGATAGATATCTCCTGGAGCTCTCTCCCCACCAGGTCAGACCATGCCTTAAATAATCTGGGTGCATTCTGGTGGACTTGGGGTCTCTCTCTTTCCAAAGAACAGGAGTAGGGTTCAGCATTTACACGAGGACAGCCAGAACAAAAGATTTATTCTCCTGTTGTTCTCTTTCTAAACATTTCCGTTGGTGCAAGTGTTAATATTGACAAGTGTGTGTTTTATAATTTTGGAGCTCACTTTAGGCTGAGATGGTGCATTGGTATTTAATGCACAATGCACATAGTTTAGATGGCATGCATTAATCATATTCCTATTGTCTTTGTTATGGTAGAAACAAGCTCTTGGGGTTTTTTTTAAATTAAAAAAAAGGGAAAATGGGCTTGACTTTTTTTTTTCTTTTTTTTTTTTTTTTTAAGATACATTATATTTCAGCAGCTAATGAAGAGGAAATAATGATGAGTCTGCACTATGATATGTATTAGAGCACTAATTAGACTATAGCAGAACTGCTTACGGATGTCTTTGAAACACCTGCTTGGTAATTTTCAGCCCCATTTTCCTCTCTTTACCAGGGCAGGCGTGATGGGAAGACAGAGTTAAGACTGAGATATGAAACAGAGAACTCAGCACCCTCCAGTTTTGTCTTTTGTTCACCCAGCTTCATATATGTTTAAGACAAGGATAATGTGGATGGTCACTGCAGTGCCCTTTTTGTGGGCTGGGATTTCTGTTGCCCATGGTAGGTATAGGGAAAGGACTCATATATGTTATTTTCTAACTTCCTTGTGACCATACAAAGGCAATATGGTTTCAGAACAAGAATTCCCAGTTTAGGCTGTCATCTTGCATGTATAATAATCCAGAATATTATGTATTGCATCTCCAACATTAGCTTATCGTTGCTTTAGTTTGGAGTGTGTGTTTTCGAGACCATTAAAAGCTGTAAATCTAGAAATAATGTTGGCCTTCATTTTTAAAGCTGTTTTGAAGTTGTCTTCTTTTACTGTCATAAGAAACCACAAATATTCCCACTCTATATCTTATTTGCTTTTACATTTCTGTCAACTATGTAAATAATTGAATTCTAAACATGAATTGCAAACATGCCCAAAATCACATACCAAGCAGGCTGAGTTCCTACCTCAACCGTGTCTCCCAGCTTACACTGCAGCCAAGCTGGTCGTGGGTTGTACAAAATTCACCTGTATTTTATAAGATGCAAACATTGGCTACATATTTTTTAGTCTCTAAACATGATTGTGTTGCCCACACTAATGAGACTGACAGTGATTCCTCAGTATTCCCCCATACTGTGATGATTCAGCTTCTTTTTTTCTCACAGCTTTTTCCAAAGGAAACTTTTCCTGACTGCACCATTCATGTGTTGGAGGATGTGGAGCTGTTTGTGCCTGAGAGCCTGAGCAGAGCTCAAATGAGAATTCTAAAGGTGAGCAACTCTGATTCAAAGCTGGTCTGATTTTTCTTATTTTGATGATGAAAATTTTCAATGGGTGCACTAAATCCTGAGAGAGTCACATGTTTAAATGCAGCATGAAAACATTTCTCATGGAATAATGCATTTAAAAGTAAGAGGCAACATTTTCATTTATGGGTATATCAGAATTTTTTCTGTTTTGAAATGTTTGGTACTACTTGCATAAAAGCCTGTTTCAAGTGGTCACTGACAGCTACAGCTGATTTCATCCCACATGTAAGATCATATATTGCAACCCACACAGAGAGGACAGAGCTGAAAAGGAGAAGAGTTCTGGGGAGGTTCAGTTGTACTTGGTAGCATTTGAATTCCAGAATAGGAACAGATTTATCACCTGCTCGAGGATCAGGTGAGAGGTAAAGAGGTGAATGTAGAGGGGTGAAAAGTAGCATCAGATGCCAGAAGCAGGTGTGGATTTGTCTGTTTTGGGTCAGACCTCAGCACAGTTTGATCCAGCCTGTGGTGCTGTGCTATATGGTAGATGTGTAACTTGGAGGGAGACACGTGGAATCTCTCAAGGTGCTTTGGGGCTGGAGCTCTTGGGTGGCAGAGCAAAACCCTGAGACTTCACAGTGCCCAGTGTTGTCCTGAACAGGTGCCCCAGGCACTGCAGTAATGGGAGATGCTGCCTTTGAGTAGGAGGTTTACAGGCAGAGACAACAGAAAATTTACTCCAGCATAAGACAAGGGGTTTATCTAGATATACAGCAAGTGTTTAAAAACCCAAACCAAAGCCCCAGGCAATTTTGTGACGTTCATCACCAGGATGAGTGGTGTTCTCTCAGCACACCAGGGGCCTCAGCACCGTCAGTGGCACCGTCAGTGCTTGTGGAGGCAGCAGAGCAAAGCACAAGTGCATTCGTGCAAGGGAGCTGGGAGGCCAAACCCTGAGCCTGCCAAAGCCCCAGGTGGATGTTCTGCCTTGCTAAGCAAGTCTGGTGGCTCAGTGACGCCACTGAATGTCCCCAGTGCCCTGTGTGACGCTGGTGACACCCCTGAGAGCTGCTGCTGTCAGACCTGAGCTCGCCCGTCAATGAAGTGCTGAACAAGTACCTGGAGGATTTCTGAGTGAGGCACACTTGTCTTTAAAATGCTAGGCTTCTGAAGTTAGGGGCTTTCCTTCAGTTATGTGAGAAACCATGCCAGTACCACGAGGGGAAGGCAGGTGTCTGGAAACAGGTCTTTTTAAATCCCACTACCTGCAGTTGTGCTGGGAAGTCTGGAGGGGGTTTGCCTCTGCTCCCAGTGTTGGGGGGTGTGTCTCTGTTTGGGGGAATGTGAGGCAAATCTGTCCCCATCTCTTTCTCCCTTGTGGCTTCAGAAATTGTGCTGCACCTTCAGAGGGGATGGGACCATGTGCCATCTCGCCAGCATGAGATAAATGACCAGTCCAGAAGGACTGAAATAACCCTCTGGAGGGTATCCACTGCTTTCTGGGGTTGGATCAGTCTCTCCAGGGGTCCTTCCTACCAGCTCCCCAGTGTATTTCAGGTCAGTCCAAGGATCTGGGCTTCTATTTCTGTTTAACTGCTCACCCATATCATGAGTATAGTAAGACATGAGCCATATCAATCTAATCATAAACCCAAACAAACCAGCAGTTGTTCGAGTCCTTTATCTCTTGGCAGGCAACAGCAAGCCCTCACCTCTTATCCACTCTGCACACATGCAATTATTCTGCAGCCTTCATCAGCACCAGGAATTCAACAGCTGACACCAACATTTATCTCAGTAAATCCAGCGTGTAGCTCTGCCCCTCTCCTGAATATTCAGATATGCAGCCACATCAGTGCTGCTCGTTTAAAGGCAATGACAAGGGTCATCATTTTATTCTTTATCTCCTGCTTCACCTGCTCCTGAATGCTGAAGGGAAGGAGGAAACAGCATCCCGGGGAGCTCAGTGGTGTGCATGACAACCTTGCAATGCTCGACTGTCCATCAGGGTGCCATGGGAGGATGAGGAGGAGCAAAGGCACCACTGAGCATCCGTGCCCACAGCTCTGGTGGTGCTGTGGTGCTGGTGGAAGGGAGATGATGGGTGTTAGCCCTGCCAGTCCCTCCAGCCACATGGCATGAAGCCAAAGGGCACAGAAGTGCCTTGTCAGGTAGGAAACGTTCAGCCTGGTCACAAATAAGCTTGATTTCTGAAGATGAGAAAGGTTAAAATTGAGTTTGAATGTCTCGAACTTCCCTCAGGGCTGTGTTTTCTGAAAAGACAGTGGGTCTTGTTCAGCTGCTTTTCACTTACGTGCCTAAAAAGATTCAGCTGTCATAGCCCTGACAAGCACTAAAAAGCTCTTGTTAAGGTCACGGGCATCAGAGAAGTGTCTCTCCTACAACATCCCAGTGAACCAGGGCCACTGGCACTGGGAATGGGGGCTGGTGTCAAGACACTGTTTGGTACAAACAGGACTGTGACCTGGTGTCCTGGCACGGCAGAGCTGCTGCTGTTCCCACTGCTCTTCCCAAGGGGAGCCGTGTAACACTGCTCCAGCTAAGTGCAAAAAGAAAAAAAAAACAACAAAAAACCCCTCTAAACATCCCTGACCTTTAAATTCAGGCTGCAGCGAATAGATCTGCTGCTAACCAAAAATCTGAGGTTGCTTTCATGTGTCTTGAGCGTTCAGGGAATAGATGTAGCTTAACATGCAAATGCTGGGCTTCCTGCAGCACGCTGCTGCTTTTCAAACTCTCTCATTTCATGCTGTTACCTCCATCCCTGCTGTGTCTGTGAAAAGAGCCTCTCTGAGGAAAAGTTTCCCACAGACAGAAATCCGACTGATGTGGTAAAAAAAAAAAACAAACCCACAACCAACCACTTATAGTTTAATTTCTAAAATGTGTGGTGTCCATCTGCAACCTGGCAACCAGCATCTTCTCTGCTGCTGGTGTGGATAGACCAGCTCCTCCCTGCCTCAGGGGATGTATTTTATATATTTGTCCTCATCTGTAGGTTCTGAAGTTGGAAGGCAGGAGTCCTGTCCTAGCATAGTCGTTCAGAGGAATATTTTCCCCCTATGAGCAGGGATGCTCCAGTGCCCTTTGGTGTGTTTACCTGTGCACCCATTTTCTCTGTGTTCAAGTTACCGTGCTCACAAAACTTCAGTGTTCTGCACAGATAGAGAAATGGATGTCTCTTTTTCCAGGCAACAAGGGGAAATGGCCTCAAGTTGTGCCAGGAAGGGTTGTCAAACCTTGAGAGGGTTGTCAAACCTTGAAACAGGCTGCCCAGGGGTCACCATCCCTGGGGGGGATTTAAAAGATATGTACATGTGGCACTTGGGAAACATGGTTTAATGGTGGCTTTGGCACTCCTGGACTAATGGTTGGACTCAAAGACCTTGAAAGTCTTTTCCAAACCAAATGATTCCATGATTCTCTGTCCAAACACTTCTTTTATCACTCATAAAGAATGCCTGTAAAGCCCATATACAGCAGCTGTTGGGCAGGTCCCTGCCCTGGAGGGTACAAGGGGAACTCGCCAACAAATAATGTTTATTTGGCACTTCAGATATCTTCCTTGAACCACCTGGGCACCATCATCCTCTTCTGCCTTTAAAGCAGAGCACGATGCATTATTGATGGCTGAAATGCAGTAAATGTGTGGCATTTCTCTAATACCTTACATTTTTTGTTCTAATTTCAAGTATTTCTCATTCTATGCCACTACCATAAAATTCAACATTTTAAGCATATTGTCCCTCATAGTGCCTGCTTATATTTTCAAGCTTGTCTGGCTGTGTTGGCAACAAGAGTCATCATGAATTATGTAAGCAATTCCTCTCTTTAGGAGCTGGTCCCAGCCCTGTGCTGCCCCGATAAGAGCAGCGAGGCAGGAGCTGCTTTGGGAACAGCAGGACCTGTGTGCCTGCACCTCAGCTGGGCTGGGACCAAAGAACAGAGCACGTGGAGTGTTGGAAATGAATTGAAACCCCAGAGAATTGGGGTAAAAAATGAGATCCAAGCCTGATTTGCAGCAATTCAGTCTTGGAGCTGTGGCTGTGACCATGCCATGGGCTGGACGTAATGGGTCCCACTTAGTGAGTTATCTGGGACTAGAAATCATGGTTTCTTCATCTCTAAAAGCTGAGCTTTCATCCCAAATATACAGCTGGGTGTTCAGGTGTAGGTGTAAGGGAGGATTCTAATCCATGAGGCTTCATGAAAATCAAGAGATATTGGGTTAAAACCCCTTGGGGAGGGACCTGAATCTAACCCACATTTTCTAGCATAAACTCTAGTTAAGTAGAAAAGTGGCCACAAGCAGCAGCATCTTGGTTCTTTCTTGAACTCAAGAGCCCTGTGATGTCCTTGGAGGAAAGGGAGGTGCTGGGAAGCAAAGCCTCACTCCCCATCTCCTTACCTGGGCTTTTATTAGACTCCACCACGATGTTCCTGTTCAGATTTCAGCACTCTGACCCCTCAGTCACCTTTTTCATATAAACAATCATTATAGAGCAGAATCCTGATGACTGGCAGCAGTTAGTCAGGACAGATGGCCTCTGCCTCTGACAGCTCCAAAACATCACATAAGCCTCATCTTTTCAAGAAGGCCTTTACCAGATGGGTCTAATTTAAAGTATGGCCTTTCTCATTTCTTCCTAAAGGACAGTTAATTAAGTGCAGAATGGATGTCTCTGCTCTTCCCAGGGCAGGAACAAGTGGGTGTTTGATATGGAGACATTTATGGTTTGGTTCCAGCACATCAGTGAGGGGAGATGATGAACTCATTAGAATAAATATCGACAAGTGTATTGAACTTCCCATTTTTTCCGAGTTTACTGGAGCTGCCCCAAGAGAGGCCAATTCTTGAGCAATGTCTTGTGAAAAAATGTCTCTAATTTTTTATTGCTCTGCAGTGACCAACCCCAATTCCACTTGTATTATCTCTTATCAGTCCTGTTTTTACTCTGCTGCCAAAATTTGTGGTCACAGCTGAGGAGCTCAGAGAGCAGCTCAGAAGAGGCTGAAACAAAGCTCTTATCGTGTTTTCCAGGAGCTCCAATCCAGTTGTTTCTGGCTGTTGTTTCCCACTAGATTTTCTGTGGTGGGAAACTTTATTCTCTTTTCCTCTTGTGCATCAAAATAGCTCTGAGAGATTCTTCTCCTCCAGGCAGGAAACCCTGAAAACTCTGGATCTGTTCAATTAGCTGCATTACAAACTGATTTCCAGCCTTGTCTCTTCTTCTCTTACATGAGCTATTAAATCCCTCCTCTCCTCACCTCCCCAGTTAAACTAAAAATGGCTAATTTTCTTAACATCCTTTTTACAAGCATGTCTACATGGTAGAAATGAGGAGTTCTGGCTTATCTTGTTATTATGTAAATATTTTTGTGCTTCTAGAACAAAGTTTTTCTTTCCCTTTGATCCAGCTTTCTTGTAGTCAGTTTAACCTTCAGAAAGAGTCAAGAGATTGGCGGAGATTGCCACTGGCATTATTCCTGAGGAAAACTGGAGAGAGAAAAGAAAACTCAAAATTACAGCTCATTTAGAAATGGAAGCAATTGAAAGGAAGAGATTGTCTTTCAGTCTTTTTTAAGCAAATTTTTGCTTAAAATATCTGGGACCGGTGTAAAAATAGCATTTACATTGTATTACAAGATGAAAGTGGTTCTTTTCCAGCAGCCTGGGAGGTTGCTGTGCCCCAAATTTGTGCTGTGGGCAGGATCTCCAAATTACTGGACAAATTTTTGTCCTTCCATACTTTTGGAGTTTTGGCTGATTGCTTTGGACTGTGCTGGCAGCAGGGGTGAACAGTCTTCCAAAAAGAAAATTTTAGGATAACTTCAAACTCCCATAAGAAGAAGTTGATTCTACTTTCACCAATTCCAGAGAGTTATTTATTATTAGAGTTATTTCATGGAGTTATTGTACAGAGTTATATTTCCCAATTATAAAATCAGGACCAAAGCACCAGTGACTAATGGGAGGAAAAGCAGCAAACACTCTGTAGTTAAAAATGTTTAATTACGCTTAAAAGTGACTGTACAGAAGATATAATAGTAGAGACTATTTTGGCAGTCTTTTGGGTAGAAAGAATGACAGCAGAAGGTCTGGCTGAACTCGTGGTTCTGTGCCAGTGCCCAGGACTATCAGCTTGGTTTCCAATCTGGAGAAAATATATGTATGTGTGATTTATACACAGGTCTTGTATGTGCGTTTGCCTGATGTTTATTAGTTCAGCTGTTAGTACCTCTTCAAAAAAAGAGGGCATGTATTTAAAAAAAAAAAAAACAAACAGCTGAAGATGTTTTCAAAGTCATGGGTGTGAAGGGAAGAGGAGCCACTGCACTCGGAGTGTCTGCCTGGAGCCTTCTGGAATTGCAGCCAGAAGTAAAACTTGGCAGAGCTTTTGTTCTGCCTCGGTCCTCCCTTTGCTCAGAAGAGCTGATTGATCAGTCCAAGTGTGCTGAAATTGGGGTGAGGGTTTCATTAGCCTTGGATCAGGCCCTCAGCACTGGATACACTGGTTGCTTGAAAATAGGTAATTAATGGTGCTTTATTTTTCATGTTTCCAAGGCAACACAAGCCCCCAGGACATTGTTTTCCAGTCTGTGAGCAGAAGCTTTTGACTGCTGCAGAAGTTCCCCTCTGTCTCATCTGAAGCTGCTGTAAAGGTACCAAAGCCATATTTCCTGTCATTATAGTCTGTATCCAAAAAGTCATGACAATCAGATGCCGCTGATGAAATGATCTCACTGCAGAACTCATTCAATCAGTGGAGCTCTGCTGTTCAAATAGATAATTAGTGTTGTGACAAGTGTGACTGTAAATGCCTCAGTTTGGTGGCAATGTTAGGAAGTGTGACAAAATTAAATTATTTGTCTGCCTTAAGCATGGCCCTCCTTGGATTGCTAATGAGGGAAATTCTTGTTAAACACATGTCCTTTTCTCATCAACTGCTTTACAGGCCCTCAGCTGGGAAAAAGATTTATTATTTGGATCATAAGGGGCACGAAAGGCTGGACTTTCCCTTGTTTTCTCTGACTTTTTTCTTTTCATGTCTTTAGCTGGTGTAACAGGTCATTGCTTGTGTTCCAGCGTAAAAGGGAATGATCCCCTAAAATGGAATCACCAGGGAGAGCAACCCCAATGGGCACCTTTACTGCCTGTCAAAATCCCCTCTTTGGAAGGAATGGGCACAGGGAGTGCATTCAGGTGCTCCCATCTCAGGGGAACATTTGCAGCACCTCTCCTAGAGGTGACAAAAAATTCAGTCTGTTCTTCTGCAAGGGCAGGCAAACCCTCCCTGTGTGCTGCTGGGGGACTCCAATCCTGCCCCCTCGGCTGGGAATGGAGAGGGAAAGCAATTCCATGTCCCTCCTCTCATTCTGCATCCCAGGGAGTGTGGGATTTGGGAGGCTGAGGGCAGCAAGGACCGGGACACTCCAAAGTTTCTCTTTCCTGACGGGTAATTTTGGATGTCCCGCTGTGCCAGGAGTTGCTTTGAGTTTAAATTATCACGGGCTGAATTAATGAGCATCTTGAAGCTGCACCCTTTCCCATGGCTCCTAACAGGATGCTTTTGATCCTTCCTTCCTTTTTCAGCATTTGCCAGCCAATGCCCTGATGTTCCCCCACCCAAAGAGAATTAATGGCTGAGCTGGAATGAAGAGCACAGCACAGAGAGCAGGCATGGCCCAGACCTCACAGCACTAATTATGCCCTTAAAGGGTAAGAAAATAATCTTGGGTACATTAGGAAGAAAGTGTCTTAGAAATGCTGCATGGGGTTACTGGCACGTCTCCTGTATTTGTGCATTTGAAAGGGAAAAAAAAAGGACTTTCAAAGATACTTCCTGACCTCAAAAAGATCAGCAGGGAGCTCAAGAAAGGAAATTTAATTCCAAGTGAGTTTATCAAGTTTTCCTGACCCTTAAGGATGGAAAAAGCAAAGGAAGGATGCACATGAAGGTCCTGCAAAATTCTAATACTGAAACACTCTCATGCACAAAGTGTGAAGTCTCAAACCAGAGAGTTTAAACCCAAAGCGAGCAAAGAGCAGGGGATGAATTACAACAAGGGCCAGTGCAGACACTGCAGTGTGGCAGTTCAGGTGATGAAGAGGATCCATGAAAGGAAAGGTGAGTGTCTGTGAAAATATCAGAAATTTTGGGGAGGGGAACTCGGTGATGCACCTCACGAGAGGCATCACAGAGGATGCCAACGAGGTGCCCACACCCTCAGCTGACCTTGGGAAACACTTCCAAGCCAAGGGTGAGACATTACCAGCACCTCTGAGAAGCAGAGCTTTGCCGAGGCTGCTGGAGTAGCTTGGAAAAAGAGGAATTCTTGTCCTCTTTCCAGGCTGTACCTCCTGCTTCCCAGGGAGACCCAAGCTGTGACCATCCCAGGGAGGCAGCTGGGAGCTGTGGAGATCCCTTTTCCAAGAGGGCAGACTGATCTCCAGAGCTGCAGTGAGAGGTGCCCCACGTCCCCCATCCCATGGCAGCTCCCACTGTGCAAGCCCCACATTTAAAGGGCCTCTTTTTATCAAGCAGCCTCGCTAAAAACCAGAGCAAAGCAGGCTCAGTTCTATCCCTGCTAAACATATCCCTTTTTATTGCTTTTCAGGAGTTCAAAGCATTAGCATATAAAACAATCCAGGTGGCTGTTTTCCCTAAAAGAGCGAGGGCCTGTTTACAAACTCGTTTTATTTCCACAATATTCCATTGTTATTTATTTCAGACAGAGAGCTGTCAGATTAATGCACTCCCTCATGCAGGACAGCTTGCTTTATTGCCTGTTATTAAGACATAACATATACAACCTGACAGGCACTGCCCACGTCTGCGTTCCACCACTGAAAGGCAAATTAAGTTGAAAATGGAGATCTCCAATATTTCTTTGGGCTGAAGTGATATTAGTTTTTAACTCATTTTGTATTCATAGAGGATCCTGCATATTTGTAACATATCCAACAGTAAGCTGTCCAAAGAAAAAGTTGTGGGTTTGTTTTTTTTTTTTAAATTCTTATTCCAGCTACCTCTGAGAAATTCAGGCTTTAGAATACAGCTCTGCTTTTGGATAGGGAATTGAAAACAATGCAATTTACAGTAGTGCTTTACTAAGGACTGTGAATGAAATCTATCCTTCTTTCTTACTAGATTTCAAATAATAGTTGTGCCAAAGTGCTGTTGGTTTTGGTGGAAGTACAACTCAGAGTGGAATGGCAGAACTACCTGCCCCAACAGTTCCTGTTGTATAAGCAATGTTATTCATATTTTTCATTATTATTGATTAGTTTTCTTTCTTTTTTTTTTTTTTTTTCACCCCAGGACTGAATTGCTAATTTTGGACAGTCACGGGAGCTGCTCTGGAAATGCTTGCTAGAGGTGGGCTTATCCCTTTCCTTTTCCCTTTACTGCCTCTTCACCTTTTCCTCCTGTACTTTCCCAATGACAGCTTATTTTGTTCCAGCTCACTGGAGAATCAAGTCAGTTTTATTAATGCAAATAACCATTAACTAAATTAAGATGACAGAAGAAACAGAGATCAGTTTAAAGAAGACTTATATGGACACTGGGGGAAGCAGAGCAAGGCACATGTGTCCACCTACAACCACCTGAAAGGGAAAACCCCATTTATTCAATACACTTGTGTTGGCATCATTATTAACCCTTATGGCAGTACCTGGGTACTCCCTGTTATGCAGGTGGAATCCACACTTTAAAAGCTTAATCTGTGGTACCAGGGAGAAGGTTTTTTTGCTGAGAAGTCTGGGCTTTACAAGAAAAGGCAGCTGTGTAGGGAACAGGAAAATGCAGTGGAAAACAGGATGTGCAGCTTAATGCTAAATAGTGATACACTGAATAAATTACTATAAAGAACTAACTCTTCCTCAATGTAATTACATTGGGGTTTTTTTTCCATTTCAGAGGAGAGGAAACAGCCTAATTGGATAGATGGGAAATGAAGCCAGGGAAAGGGAAGTGGCTTTTTGTCCACTCTGCTGTAAACCTGTGGGCAGAGATGGAGCTCAGCAGCTCAAGCACAACCATTTTTAGATGCATTAAACCCCCCAAATGTGCAAATATATAATAGGAACAAGCAATAATACTTTGAAATATTCTACTATCCCTCAATGTAATAAATATTTTATTAGAGCAATAGAAAAAAATGCATACAGATAACCATAGGATACACACACAACTGGAAGTTTTAAGGATAAATTTTGAACTTTTCAATATGAAACAAGGTACCTGGTACATATCTCATGGAGATATATAACTAGAAATTAAATAATACAATGTAATTCCATGAGAATGGCAGTACAGGAACATGGACTAGAATTGTGTGAAACAACAGAGTCACCCTTTGTTGCATGAAACATAACTATATACTTACTAGGAACACCTGTATTTCCATCTCCCCCCCACCCCCCTTTGCATGTGTCTGAAAACAACACTGGTTTGCCACATGGAAAAGCAACTAGTCATTTATAGCTCTATATGTACATTATATACAGCTCTTGCTTACTTCAACAGTTAGCACATAGTGTCAGCTGGAGCTAATCAGGTAATTTGCTATCTGAATGCATATCAAGGTATTTTTTTTCTACAGTGCTACCATAATTTCATTAATCCTGGTTCTCCCTTTGTGGTTCTGTGTGTTGTAATAATACTGTGAAATTAAAAAGAACAGTCTTTAAAAGGATATGCTTTGTCATGTGTGCTGTTACAGGGATGTTGTCAGTTCCCTAAAAGGTGTCTAAAAGGCTGATTTGACTAAATTCACAAATATAGAAGTCAAATGGACCAGGTTTAATGTATCTTTAATATACTGCTATGAAAGCAAGCACAGATTTCTCTATAATAGCAAGCCTGAAGTGCTGTTGTGTAATTTTTTATTATCTCCTACAGTATTGCCATAAACTTACCAGAATCATGTGACAGTGGTGGGGTGTGTCTGAGAGCCAGACCAGGTGAGACAGTTTTGAATGGGTTAAAGAGCAGCAGGAAGGAGAGTTCTGACTGTAACACTGAATTAAGGATGTTTACAGTGCAGTGTGGTAGATGATAAAAGAGCAAGATAATTTGGGGCTGCATATCTGGAAGCACCACATCTCAAGGTAGGGAGGTGGTGGTCGTCCCTCTTCATAAGGCCATGGTGCAACTGCATTCCAACAGTGCTTCCAACTGGGAACTCCTGTTAGTGGAACACCAACACACAGGGAGGGCAATAAAAATGAGCCTGAAGGTGGGAGAATTTGGTTATGAATGAAGAACCTGGTTAAGAAATATAAGGTGGGGATTTGAGGAAATGAACTTCAAAATTTATGGATGGAGAGGAAGGGCAGGTGTTTGAAAAGGTGCATAAACATCTGTGATAAAACAGAGAGGCCTCTTTGAAACACAGCTGTGAGATCATTTCTTAGGAGCAGCACTGGAGGCCCCTCTTGGACACCCCAGTGTGGACTGTGCAAAACTAACACTCATATTGAGACTTTTCCCTCCCTTCCACCTGGGATTTCTCGCTAGATTTAGAGTAACTGACACAAAGGGCACTAGGAAAACTGACCCAAACCTCCTGGGTTGTGACACTGTCTGAAGAACAGCCACTTGGTCCCTGTGTTATCACCTGGTTGACAACACCCATGTCTCTGATTCCATCTTTTCTCTGTAGAACAGTATTGTAACAATGCAGAACATCCCCAGAACAGTTCGGTGTCGCTGCAAAAATGGAGTTTCTCACTGAGCTAAGCTCTTCCTCTGACCATAGTGCCATTGCTCTCCCTCTCTCTTACACTGTATCTGAAGTATGTAATATGTAAACTCCTTTGGTTCAAGTATTAAGGCATTTCAGATTCCTTTTTAAAGGATTTGCTAAACTTTACATGGTATTTTTACTTCAACTTACAGTGAAATATAAAGAATTTAAAAACACGTCAGGATAGAAGAAAAACATGCATTAACCACTGCAGTTTTTTTTTTAAAAAAGCACTTTAGTAACCAATTCTTGTTTTTCTTGCAGCAAATGCAAATATATCATTACAACACTGAATTAAGGGTCAAGGAAAATACTGTTGCTAAGAAGCTGGACACACTGAAGATATTCAAGACTGATGGACCAGAACCTCTTGCATCCATACCTGTGACAAATGGAAAAGGTCAGGATTAAATGAAAGCATGACTGTGTGCTGTGCCAAACTATTACCCTTCCCAGAGGCTAAGCAAAAAAATTATTGGTTTTTTTTTTTTTTTTTACTTCTTACAAACAGTAGAAATTTACAAAAACACAGTAAATATTTTTAAACTACAGAGACGCCTTGCAAAATGCTGAAATTGTATGAATGGTTTCAGTGCTCTGGTTTAGCTGACAAAAAGTGGTATTTGGCCAGAGGTTGGGCTCGGTGACCTTGGAGGTCTTTTCCAACCTTAATGATTCTGTGTTTCTATGCCTCTACTTTCAAGGTAATAATTTAAAAAAAAAAAAAAAAAAAGGAGAAAAAGCAAAAAAGTTAACATTTTTAATACTAATTTACATGGTAATTTACCAGTTCAGCAGGATGGAGTTTGTCAAGCATAAGGGCGTGAAGACTGTTAATTGCTTTTTCTTTTTATGACCTTATTACCACCCAACGTATAAGTATTAATTCCTTTTTTTTTTTTTTTGTTCCTGAAAAGACAAAGTTGAAGGGGGAAGCAGCTTGAACCTACTGGCTAGTCTGGGAATGAGGATCTGCTCGCTGCTGGTGCCATCCCCCCCCTCGGTGGTGGCCTTCACCTCGATGATATAATCGTCGTTGGACTGGAGCCACAGCTCGGCCGTCGTCTGCTCCGTGCTCAGCACGTTCACGCTGCTCTGGCTGCTGGTCCTGTACAAAACCTGCAACACAGGCAACATCCTCCTCTAGGACCCGCCCTGCCAGTTTGAGCTGGGCTTCTCAGAATCTTTTTGGGGTGAAAAGATCTGATTTTTTTTTTTTTTTTTGGGTTAACGTTCTCGTGCGGAATTGCATTTTAAGAAAGACGGTAACATCAATCAACAGGTTTGAGTAGAAATGGCACAGTGTAGAATGGTAACACGTATTATATATTGTTTTGATTGCAATTGTTATTATAGGTAATAATATAATTGGTGGTGGGACACTGGAACAAGCTGTAAACATGAGCTTCTTGCCAATACAACTCAGATCTTCAGCCTAAATCTTTTAAGTGGGGATATATCATGTGGGACCCAGCTACACAGAGCTTATCAAGAACATCCTCAGCTATTCTTTTACACTAATATGACATATTTAAATACTTGTACATTTGTGTGCTGATCAGATTTAGAGCAGATGTAACTTCTATCAGGAAAATGAGCAAGTCCCACAGTAGGTAAGAAGAAAAAGGGTTTAAAAATACCAGTTTGATATGTGTGGTACTATAAATAGACCTGGCCAGGAAGGGAAGCTGTGTCCACCAGGCTAAATCTTGGATTATATAGTTTCTTCTGAAGTGTTATATATTTAGGTGTTACATATTTTTAGTAAGTTTTATAGATGTGATAAGTGTTCTGCAGGTTCTAAGATCCAAGTGTTACACGTGTGGTAAGTGGGATCCCAAGAGAAGGCACGAGGAGAAGGCATTAGTGTACATTAATGGTAATTAATTAGTGGTAAAAAGGACTGTGGTTATGAGACATGAGAATGTGATTAAAATCTGTAAGAAGGCTGTGACATTGTGCATCCTCTGAACATGCAAATAGGCAAGAAAAAGCCAACTTTGGATTGCTTTCAGCTCTGTTTTCACTGACCTTATACCCAGTCACCTCGGACTCGTTCCCCAGAGCTGTCACCTCCTCCCAGCTCAGGATAACTCTGGAGTCAGTGACATTCCACACCACGTTTCCTGGAGGTTGACTGGGTGCTTCAAATACATAATAAAAGTATGACTTTAATTTAATTGGCATTAGTGATTTATTCAACAGTAGGAAATAGTTCAAGCAATTGACTGTCATTACATTTTGGATGCAAAAGCAACTCAAATGCAGGTTCCTCGTTTGTACACGTTATGGTTCAGAGGCTAAATTGGAAAAATAGAAGGAAGGAAAAAACAGAATGCCACATAAATGTTATTTCTGAAGCTGAATTATCTGTTGATTGTCCTTCATTAAATGCAGCCAGATAGAAGCATGTGTCTTAGGACGTGGGTGATCAATTAGAACAAGCTGGGGAAAACAATGGTGGTAACAGAAAATTTACAGTTTTAGTGCAGTGCCAAGAACAAGAAAATTCTTCACAAGATACTGTTAGATAAATTTAGTCTTACTGACTATTCAAATCTACGCACTACCTTGATTCACTTTAATGTTTGTAATGTAGAAATACTTCACAGGGCTATTTTTTTTGTTCTCCTAACTCAAGATTCTGACCTGCAGCCCCTGGTCATGTCTGAGCTGAACCCCAGTGGGCTTTGGCCAAGGCAATCTACTGACTTTTTTGTTCATTAGCAACCTGAGCCTGTTATTTCCAAAGGAGCTGCATCCTTTGGGCTGTGCTTTCATATATCTTGGAACTGCCAAGCTCTCGGGGCAGGCAAAGGAAGAACAAACCTCTTACGATACCTCAGGTTGGTCTCCCAGAAAATGGGCCACGCAGTGACACAATCAATGATTAAAATCTTTTCTAAATGTGTCAAGGAAAACAATTTACTGCTGCTGTCACCTAGTGGAGGCAACTGCTGCTTAGGTGGACTGGGCTGTGCTTTGATGCTGGAGGTTCAAGTACCAAGCACTAACAGTGGTTTTGAAAACTTATATCCATGTGCTTTTTTTTTTTCCCCCCCTCCTTTCTTCTCCTCATTTCAATTCCTTCCCACAGGTAACTCCCTACCTTCTTTCCATGAGCAGTCAAATCAAAACTCATCTGATTATACTTCAAAAAGAGACACAAAAATGTACGAGCGAGACTTAAAGAAATTATTCTGAAGTCAAACAACCACTCACAGGTATTTTTTGCAGCATTTGCCTTGTTCTATGCACCGAGTAAGATTTAACCTGATGTACTAATAATAACCACATTTTGGAAATGTAAAAGGAGATTGTTTTGCTCCTGAGAATGAAGTGTTACAGCATATATGAGTAGTTTTCACACTGGGATATTAAAGCTGAATTTCAAAAGAAATGAGTCATTCTTGAAATCCACAACAAAATATTAAGATGACATGTGAAAAAAGGAAGAATAATTATATATAAAAACTGTAAGCCTCTATCTATCACTTGGCTTATGGAAGGGATTCAGAAGGCTCCAATTTGCTTCAGACACCAAAATCTCCAGTAATCTTCAGTGTTCAGAACTGCAGAGCTTCATCTGTACCAGGTCAGATCCTGATCCATCATGTCATGGAAGTACATGTCCAGGGCTAAGGATGCAAATAGCTGCATGGATTTCTGAGACTCCTCAGATGCTTAAAGCTGGTCATGAACATGAATATTTCTCTGAATTAGAATTGACTGACAGAACACATTTGGTTGTATTTTAAGACTTTCTAAATATGAAATAATTGTGACACCTTGTCTTATAAACTTAGGCAAGTCTTCCCCAGTCACTTGCCATTTTATATAGCATATTTTATAAAAAACCTCCACCTGTTATTTTGGGCTTGCAAACAGGAATATTTCAAATATAAAAGCAAAGATACTTTATTTGTCAAGGACTCAATTTTCAATCTTGAAATATACTGCCAGTTGAACTGAAGTATTTGTATTTCTTGATATGGCTGGAGTTACTGAGAGGTACCTTGTAGGCCCTGTGGGGGAATGTAAATCCTTCACAGCGAAAAACACATCAATCACAAATATTCAAGTTAAAGTAGAAATTGGGATTGATTAAAAATCACACCTTTGAATGAAAAATCAGCTTCTGCTGTAGCAGCAGAGAGAATTATTTGTCTTAGTCAATTCAACTGGTAGTTAGCAAGATCCTTCAGAGTGACATTACACTGTAGTGCAATGGTTTTGCTCTCTTTAGTCACATGCAATTAATTTTCCCTTTTTAATTATTCCAAATAGCAGCAATCTTGACCAAGGGCCTGATCCAGATCTGTTCAAACCAGTGTCCAGTTCTCACACATCCCAAAGGCACGTGGCCACTAAAAAAGGACTGAAAATCCCTGAGCTGACCAGGCTGGCACCAGCCACAAAGTTGATTAATTAGAGAAAAAATTACTTATCACATGTCCTGTCCAGGCTACAGGCAGTGAGTTACTTCAGATCAGCAATTCATGGTAACTCTGCATATAATATATCTAAACTCTGGCAAATCTGAGTTGGTTTAGTCCTCAGTGACAGCCTGACACTCGTTTTTGCCTAAAATAATTTCTGATAAATTAGCTTGTTTCATAATATTAATGACACAACTATTTCTGGTAGAAGGATGTTAATGACTATTCCAGGGAGTTTGACCTTTCAGATATATTTAATTGTATGTTCTCGTGCCTCTGACAGAAATCCTTCAAGAGTGATGACCCTGACTCGGGGTTGTGTTACAGTGGAGGAGCCCACTAAAAATATTTCCACTGTAGAAAAATTAGTGCAGCCTTTGACAATCTGTTCTCCAGCTTAATTTCTCCTTTGTAACAGCAAAGTGGCCTCTTGTGCAATTTGTTCAAGGGGAAACAGTGGACATGAAGGATTGTTTTGCATGAACTGTATGAGGATCATTGCATTTCAAAAGCCATGCCCTGGAGAACTTATAAATATGTTATAGAACACTGAAAAATTCAACAAGTCTCTTTTTTTTCCCCCCTTCTGAAGAACAGAGATTTTTCTTTTCAATTTCTTCCAGTCATTAGAAGCATAATAAAGGTTCTGTGCAGAAATTACACATCTTTCTTGGGTTCCACTGGCATGGCTGAGTTTTACTCGTCCTGCCGGAGCCACGGAGGGAGGAAGCTCCAAGCTTGATTTAATTGTGCTTAGAACCAACCCCTGCCCTGGACTGCACGAAAATTCAAGTCACTGACTCATACTGTGTGATTCCCAGTAATGCCACTGTTTTTCCTGCACACCATTAAGTCTCTCCCCACTTTAAATTCCAGATACTCACGTGGCTTTTTAGTGGTGGCATTCACGGTGGCACTGAAGGGCCCAGCCCCAGCACTGTTGTAGGCACGGACAGCTGTGTAATAAGCCAAGTTGCTCCTCAAACCCGTGATTCTTATTGATGTTTCATTCCCTGCAGCTTTTACTCTGTTTGAAGATTCTTCTTTCTGACCATTATTCCAGTACCTAACCTAGGAGATATAAAAGCAAAACCATTTAAATCTTGCATGGAATGGACTGTTCACCCACAGCAATGCACTTGACTCTTTTAAGGGCAGGGTTTTTTTTTTCCCCCCTCGGCTGAAAAAGGTAGAAATACATTAAAGTTTCAGAAATGTGTTTACTGTGCAAAAATAAAATATTCTTATCCATCTGCTTCTCACGCCTGCTGCTCTTTTTAGTGTGACTGTAGGAGAAAGAAAATTGAAATATTAGATCTCGCTTGAATTAAAGAATGACAAGAGGAAAACCATTACTTCATTAAAGAGAAAACAAGTTAAACTCAGGAAAATGTACCCTATGAAAAAGTTTCTCTGAAAGTAAATGTAATTCTGAAAAAATATGTCAGTTTGAAGACATGTTAGACACATGACTATCTATCAGCACAGGAAGAATAACACAATTTCAGTCTGTGATCTTTTTTGCAATAACAGAAGAAATTATCCTTCCTCTGGGT